CAGTGCCCAGGGAGCTCAGCCTGGCACACTCACTGTGCTCACCCCAGGGCCTGGGGAGCTGCACCCAAACCAAAGGGACTGGGAGGGGAAATGAAACCAGAACCCATGCCCGTGCCAGCCAGAGCTACTCCATAGGAATGACCCGTCCTGAAGGAGGGGAAGGAGGAACTGCCATCTCTCAGGTGAACCCAGCCCTGCTCTCCCCCCCTGTAGGGTTCCCTTGCATTTCCCACCCCACTGCAGTGCCCACCTGGACTGGACCCCCACCCTACCCAGCAGGGAGGGTACGAGGTGTGTGCACAGATACTTTACCAGAGTGGTGAAGATGAAGTGGTAGTACTCTGTCATCATTCCCATTGCCATGGCCTTGAGGAGAGGAGGGAAAGGAGGTTAGTGAAGTAGATACAAGAATATCACATCCCTTCCCCTTCAGTGCCCACCTGTGTCATGACTCTGCCTGTCCCTCCTCCGTGGGCATGACAGTGGGATGCTGAGTGCCTGGTTTAGAAATGGGGCTGTGAAGGCACAAGGATGAGGGGTGGGAACATCCCCCATCCCTCTGAAATCATGTCCCAGACCTGGCCAGCCCAGCTCAAGGCTCCTGCCAGCCCTGCCACAGAGGATGGCTCGTGCAGATTGCTGGGATCTGCATAGCTGAGCACTGGAGAGAACAGGCTGTCCTGTGAGCTCTGCCAGAGCACAGGCGTGGGCTGAAGGGGCCTTGGCTGGACGACCACGTCCAGACCCTGCAGAGCACAGGGGAACACATTTGAGTCTGTGAACAAGGTCACCTTGGAGCTGCTGGCTGGTGACTGGAAAGAGATTCCCATGGGTTTGCCTGGGATGCTGACTCTGTGAGCATGTTTTCTGGAGAAAACACATGCAAGAGCACTTTAAAATCCCCACTCATGGGAAAGCGACTTCAAGTCCCCGCCGGTAACATTTGCTTCCCTTGGATTTTGTTAAAATTACTAGGGCGGAATTTAGCTCCAAGGAAGGAAGTGACAGTCTGAGAAGAAGTGAGACATCAAAAAACAGGGGGAAAGGAAAGGCTCTGGATTGTAAGCCTACATATTGTGACTCCAGAGTGTGATTTCACCCAGGTTTCCTGCTCTGGGAGTAGCTTTTTAGAAGGTCTGGAGGCTGTTGCCGTGTGGCCACGTGCTGTCCTGTCCCGTTCCCCCCATCCCTGCCTGGCTGGTGGATCTGCTGGGCTGCATTGTAGCTCCCTCCCTGCTGCACACCCTGGTGCAAAGAGCTGGAGCAGGGAATGGGACCTCAGTATGGGAAGCATCAGTCAGAGATGGGAAAGCAATCAGGAGCAAATAATGAAATTCCAATTCAGGTCCATTTTGGATCATTTTGGACATAGGTGAGGAGCCCAGAGCTGCTGTAGGAAGGAGGCTCTGGCTTCCCAGCACTGGCAGCCCAGGGCAGGATGCATCTGGGTTTGTGGGGAAATGAATAAAGGATCCTGCTGGGGGATAAGCCACAGGCAGTGGCAGGGTGGGAGCAGCAGCTCCTGTAGAGCTGCCAGGCCCAGCTGTGCCCTGTGGGGGCTGCTCAGGACAGAGCTGTGGGGGAGCCTCAGAGTGCATGTGGAGTGATAACCAGGGACCAAAACCAAGGAAGGCTGAAGAACCTGGGACAGGATGGGAAGGACTGACTCTCCAGCAGATGGATGGCTTTGGCTTTGCCCAGTTTGTACTTTGGGTGTAAACGAGGCACCTCTAGGTGTGCATTTCTTGATACAGGTAGGAAGGTGAGGAAAATATGAGGTTTATAAGCTTTCTAATGAGAAAGCAGCTGTGAGTGACCTACAGATCATGGTGCACTGCTGTGAGCCTGCCTGGTGCTGCACACCAGAGCAGAGACTGCTCGGGCTGTGGTTTGGGTTTGTGCACCTTCCCAGGTTCTGAAAATGCTTCACAGTATTTCCCTCAGTAAAAATAACCCTGTGTAGTGTTGTTAAGCTGAAATGCATGGCTTCAGGTCCTGACAAAAACCCAACACACACACAAAACCAGCCAGAAGGACTCAGAGAGACTTGTCTCCCCCTAGTCCCCCCTCTCCTCCATCTTCCTCACTCTGCACTCGCAGTGATGAGCAGAGCAGATGGCACAATAAACTATAATAAACTGCATAACAAGTGAGCAGCACCAAACACAGCCAGCACGGGAAAACACAGGCAGGAGACAATGATCCCCTTCTATTGCTTTCCGTAATAATCCCTCCCAGGCTTTCCAAGCTCTCTGAGCACTTCCCTTCATTTTGCATCAGGCAGGCTGCAGGAGGAGGCACTTGCCTTGTGCTCTCTTTCTCAGCCCTTCAGGGGATTTATTTAATCTGTGTGGTGGTGTCGTGCTGGGCTGAGAGGAGCAACACTTCCAGTGGCTGGCTTTTAGTATCTTTGTGAGAGTCTTTTCCTCCTATTGACCCCAAAATCCAAAGGCACTTGGGAATGAGGAGGAGCTGGGGTGAGCAGCAAGAATGCCAGTGGAGGATCTCGTGGAGAAAGAAAGGAGAGAGCCCAAATGAATGGAAAATCACTGACATCTGGCTTAAAGTCCAAGAATTGCAGACCGTGCTGGGGAAGGGCCAGAGGATGCTGCCCTCCCAGCTGGGCCTGGCTGGGGGAGCCACGAGTGCTGCTCTGGATGGAGGCAGAGGGCTGGGGCTGGGGCTGGGGCTGTGCAGCTGCAGAGAGAGTCACCAAACTGTCTGGCACCAGCCTGGGCTCGGCACCGTGTTCGGCACAGCCCTTTCTCCTCCTGCAGCCTGTGTTCATTCTTACCCACAGTCCCTTTTCCGTGCTTCCAGTTTGTCAGTGCAAACTCCATGTCCTGTGGGAACCCACCAGTATCCTTGAAGGATGGACACGGAGCAGTTTTAGAGTGGCTGTGGATGGGGCTGAGGGGAAGCTGCACCCCAGTGTGGCCACCCCACACCCAGGGGCTCCTCGATGGCCCCTTCTGCCCATCCTTGTAGGCCCCTCACCTGCTTGAGGATCTGAGCTGCCATCAGGTGGCTGCAGTCGAAGATGATGCGGAATTCCCGGCCCCGCTTCATCTCCTTGAGCAGCGGCCGCGCGTCGTCCGTGTCCAGCGGGAGCTGCCGGATCTTCAGGCGGATGTTGTAGCGGGACGGGGCCATGATGAGCTCCTGCAGCCGGATGAGGCCTTGGCACCACAGAGACAAACCCACAGCGTTACAGGCCTGCCCTCCCCAGGGGCTGGGCACAGCAGCTCAGTGCTTCCCTGGTCCCTACAGCAGCTCAGTGCTTCCCTGGTCCTTATGGAATGAGCCCAGGACCTGCCTCCCTCCCTCCCTCCAATGGCCATTGCTGGAGGGTGTCACAGCCAGGGTCAATCCTTAACCCTCAGATATCTCCAGAGCAGCTCTTCTACCACAGAATGACTTCTCCTGCTGCTTCCCTGCCGCCCTGCAGCCAGGAGGGCTGGACAGGGTCCCTGCATCGAGTAGGAAGAGAACAGAATAGCAGGTTGGTCCTAACCTTTGACACCTCTGGGATCATGGCAAATTTTCTTAAGCAAACGTGCCCTTGAGAAAGGACAGGATGTGATAATCAGCTACACAACAAATTAAAATCTGCATGTTTACCATGCACAGCAGCCAAAGGGAAAAACGGGCATGGGCTTGGATTTATGAGTCGTGTAGATCGTAACGGTCACTTAATCACAACTCGTAACTTCCTACTGCCCTCAGAATTCATTTCTGTTTCCTGCACTAGGCACAAAGTCATGCTGGATGCAGGAGTAGAGCAGGAATCGTTGGAATCTGGTGTTGCAAGGAGAATTTCAGCAGATGCCTATTGCAAGGGGGGAGAGAGCAGCGTGTCCCTCTGCATAGCACAAGAAACACATTAGAATATGCCACGAAGGGAACATACTGTGACCCACATTTGCAAAACAGGAATGTCAAACTGTGTTCTCATCAGCCCTCCCCTAAAGAAACCATTTGGTTTAGTGGAATTAGGTTGGACAGGCTATCCAATGTGGCTTTTGTTTTTGGGAGTCTATCTCTAGCGCCGGGCAGTGCTTTGCTTTGTTTAACCATCAACAGCTTCCCTTACGTGACGCAACTTTGTCAGCTCTGTGCTACAGAATTAGCCAGAAAACAAAAAGCTTTCCAGAACTGCTTTTGCTTTGGATGGGAACTGCCCCCTCCATGGCAGCCATGGCCAGGGCTTTGCTGGTGCAGAGGGGAGCTGTGGTGCCCAAGGAGCTGGGCTGAGCTGCCCATGCCAGTGCCAGTGAACCCCCCAGCTCTGGTGCTGGGAGTCCCCCACTCACCGAGAGCTTTGGGAGTTAAATGCTTAGAAAGATCCCAGGGGCTCCCACAACTCCTGGGAACCCATCACTGCACGGGGGGTCATTTGGCCCCTGGAAAGGCTCATTGGAAAGGTTTCCAAAGAGATCCACAACAGAAAATCTCCAAGATTCCTCCTTTAGTCCCCTCCTTTCCCTTTCCCTACCTGTGCTGTCGTCGTACACCACCGTGGCTGACCTCCACTTGAGGTACTGCACCAGGTCCAGGATGGCGTGGCTCAGGGAGGCATAGTCGGGGTACAGGTTGACATAGAAAGTGTCCTTGTTATCCAGAGGGTGGTGCTTCCATCGGAGCTGTATGTGGGGCACTTCCAGGGCGTTGCAGATGGACTGGACAGCGTTGGTGCAGGAGCCTTGGGAAGGTCCGAATATCGCGACGACCCCCAGGGCGAGCTGGTCACAGGCTGGTGGAGGGAGAGGGGGATGTCAGAGATGGGGCAGCAGTGGGCACAGACAGCTGTGCCTGCCCTGGGCAGGGGACAGTGGGTGAACAGACACTCCTGGGCTTTAACAGCTCTGATATTGGGTAATTACAGCAGTGATGAGTCAGAGAGAGAGAGGAGGGGTTGTGGCAGGTGGGGTCTGCACCCGTGGGTAGGGTTGCAGAGCAGTGCCAGGCAGAGCTCTGAGGGAACTTCCACCACAAAAACAGCTGAAAAGGGGGTCACTGGGCTGTGGGGGAGCATCCTGGTGATGTCCCTCCAACAGCTCAGGCTCAGGCAGCAGGTTTCCTTTCTCCCAAACCAGAATCAAACTCCATGAACCCTCAGGTCACCAGCCCCCCAGCCCTTGCTGTGCAGTCCCATTTCTTCCCTCCCCCTCAGTAATTCAAGTGAGCTGTTTTTATCCAGTAATCAAAACTGACTGTTAGTAAGAGAACAGAATATCCACACCATGGATGTGAACACTGCCAGGGATACAGTGGCACAAACACAGGCCTGGCCTCCAGACCTTCGCTCAGGATTAGAGCAAACGCTGTGAAAGGAGTTTTGTGAGCTTTGCAGAGGGAAGAAAAAGTACTTGTTCCCCTTGTATTAAAAGGCCTGTGGAAGGTCAGCTCCGGGAGGAGTTCTCACCCAGATCTCTGGTGAGAGCAAGGCAGAACGAGCTGCTGGGTCTCCAGTGAAACCAGACCTTTCTTGTGCTGCATAAATGGCCACAAAGCTTCTCAGAAGTTTGCTCTGCTCTTACCTTTCTTAGTTGCTTCAAAGCTGTCGTGGAAGTGTATCCTCTGGATGTCATAGGTTAGGGTTGTGTTAGGCAACAAAGTTCTGTTCCTGTTGATAATGTTGGCGGAGAATCGGAAGGCTTGTTCCTCAGCACTCATCACCTGGGTGTTGGGGCCATCCGCGTACTCAAAGATTCCTCCTGCAAGACAAAAACCCCCCCTTTGAGCCATGTAAAGTTTGATTCATAATCTTAAGCAGCAAGGGTGAGAAAACTCTGGGAACATTTGCAGGTGGAGCAGGGCTTGCTCCTCGTCCTGTCCTGGACTGAAATGAAGACATGGAGACACTCAGGTTTTTTGTTATATGCTGCTCTGTGAGAGCGTTCAGGGTGGCAGCTTTGTGGGGCAACAGGAGGCAATTTAGAGTCTTGGAATATTTCTGTGAGACAGACGATTGGCTTCCCATAAAACTTTAGGAGCAGAGTTTGGGAAGTGCAGACAGGCTTATTGCCCAGCTGCAGGGCTGCTCCGGGTCTGTGCTGTGAGGAGTGACTGGGCACAGAGCTGGCACTGCCCTCCCCTCCCACTCCTGCCTTGTCACCCACCTCGTCCTGGCATGGGAGGCAGGCGGGGCAGTGCTGCCCATGGAGATTTTTAGTGCTGTTCTCAGTGCCCTTCTCCTCTTTTACTGCTCCTCATGTTTAGTTCTCCAGGTTCTTAATTCCGGCCAGCAGAGATTTGCTGCCCTGCAGCCTCTGCTCAGCCCTGCACGGCCCGGGCGCGGCTCTGCCGTGTTCAGAAGCTGTTAATGCCCTTACACCTCCCCAGGGGCAGTGAGCTCCTGGCACAGCATCACTGGCTTTCCTGGCTCTGTGTCTGTGAGTCCTGTCCTCAGTTCCCTCTGACAGCCCCTCTAATTGCAGTGACTGGGTGCAGTGTGGGTTGTGTAACGGCGTGTCCTTGGCTCTGGGACGTGGGATCCGTCCCACACCCCTGCAGGACCCAAACCTTGTTCTGTCTTACTAAAAAGTAAACCAAAATATTTAATGGATGAGTGAGATAAGCAAGTACAATTGGTAACAGATGGTCTCGGGGTTCATTAGCAGAAGGAAAATCTTCCTCTTCAATTTAAGGTAGTCCTCAAATGTTTTGTGGTAGACAGCAGATGTCTGCTCAGCCCTCCTGGCTTTCAGGCAACAGCATTAATCCTTCTTCGGGAGCCGAAGCACGTTCTCTGTGGTTTTGTGGCAGTTTGGTGTGGGCCAGGAGTGCCAGTTTGGCCAGAGCCAAGCTGACATCTCTGCTGCCAACTGTGCCCTGGGCGTCCTCCCGGGAGCCCGAGCTGAGCATGAGAGCTCGGGTGGAGATTTGACAGTCAGGGAGCTCCAAAGGCCTCTGACTTTCTGCTCCCCTTGACCGTGACAAGTCCCTTCACTCCTCTTCCTCTGCAGACTTTGTGTGTCCCTGTCCCTGGGTATGAAAGGAGTGTGGGCATTAATTTGCATTCATAAACGCCCAGAAAAGTTTGAGCTGTTCCCTGCACGTCTCTGCTAGAAAAAAATACTGAACTCGTTGCTAATTTTGGTAATGGGGGAAAGAATAAAGAAAAAGAGGCTGAGTGTTTGTTCTGGAGACTCATTCAGTCCCACGTGATTTTCAGCCCATCGCTCATGACCAGGTTTTCATCAAGAATGCCAGGCAGTGTGGGCAAGAGCACAGCAAAATTGTCCACGTGCCTCATTCTCACTGCATCATGACAAAACATAGGAGGTTTCACTAGAGCAAAGAAAATTATTCATCCACATCAAGGTTTGGACGTGCTGGAAGCTCAGTTTAAGTTTCTTAGTGCAGGGAAAGTTCACACACAGCATTACAACAGAAACAATGACCAAACCTAAAGTGAGTGTGAGATTCATCCCCATCTTTCCGCTCAAAGCTTCACTGTCCAGGCCATTTTAGGAGGGGATTTTTGTTCTGTAGCGTCGTCCTGAAGTGATAACTGGGTTCATGTTACATTGATTATCCACTAGCTGGCCTTAGGCTTTCTCCCAGCCCAGCACTTTCAGGGTTGCATTGGAGCATGTCTTATTATGAGAGAATATGGAAGGGCTGGGTATGTGGATTATGGGTGTTTGATTCCAAATAAATTCCCGTTCCAGACAGCCAACTGGATATAATAGGCTTTTTGACAGGAAAGAATTTTCTGTGCAGCCACCCAGTACCTTGAATTCAGTGCCAGGCAGGCAGAGAGCACAGGCAGCAGTGATGCATTTTGGATTCCACTACTGGCAACACACCGGGAATACACTGGGACATTGGGAATGTCCCACAGGTCCTGGGGTGCTGAGCACACCCTGCTCTTTGCTCAGAGCCTGGGGGGACACAGGAGTGCCTGCTGTCAGATCCCCATCCTGTGGGATCCCGAGATCCTGCTCCAAGCCTGGGGGGACACAGGAGTGCCTGCTGTCAGATCCCCATCCCGTGGGATCCCGAGATCCCGCCTTCCCTCCCGTCCCTCCGTCAGGGACGTTCATTCCCATCGTTATTTAAAGGGCCTAATAACCAGCTTGAGACAGCTGATTAATGCATAATCTTCATCGTGATTACACAGCATTACTGGCATTAATTTGCAAAGCCAGCTAATTATGAAAATAATGGTTGCAGTTCTTCCATTTGAGCAAAATGGAGACTTTTGGCTCGTGCCAGTGAGAGCACGAGGGGTGTGACATCAGCTGCTGATGGCTGGGCAAGGGGACCCCAGGGGTCCTCTGCAACCCTCAGCAGCAGAGGGGAGCCATGCAGGGCTGGGCACTTTGCTGCTTGGGGCTGGACACAGCTGTGGTCAGTCCACAGTGAAGGATCCCAGCAGGTTTGAGCAGGAGCCTCACCCGGCTCCACTCTCATGGATGAGAGTCAGTGGGTGGGAAAGTCCGCAACAAAACAGTCTCCACTTCTTCAACTGCCTAACAACAAATTCCACCTGAGAGAGTAAAACTAAAGGTCTCTTAGTGTTGCTCTCTCTCTCTGAACCATTCCTGCCTCTGCCCTTTTTTTGAAGCTAATTCCAGTGTCTGGGAGATCACTGGATGCTGCTCCCTGGTGCCAGTGGCCTTTCCCGTACTGCCTGACTGTGCAGGTCCCAGCTTTCCATTCTTTCTTTCTTTCCCTCCTGTGGCTTGGCAGAGAGATAAAGGACAGCTGTGACGAGGTCTGTCACGCTTGGTGACATCCTCCTGAGGCTCATGAGAGGATTTGCTGCCTGATTGATCCAGGAAGGGACCGAGCTGTTCCCTGACCAGTCAGTGCAGCCCATGGACTCCCCACTGCAGTGCCATGTGTTGTTCAACACACGCTGAGGTTTCATAATTCAGGTTGGATTTGTTTGCATTGATGTTTTTCCCTGGAAACCTTCTCTTCATGCCTTGTTTGTAGGGCATTTGGTGCAGAGGCATCTGGGACTGGGAATCAGCCTTGTAAAGGTGCCTCAAACAAGCTGTTGATGACAAGGCTCAAAGGCTTTCGACCCTTATCACTTACTTTTATATATTTTTTTGATGGAGTCATCCATTATTATATCTGACTTCTTGGATTTTAAAATCAATCTCAGGCAGGTTAAATAATTATTCAGTTGTCTTTTACTCTTAAAGCAGACTAATTGCTCTCCAGAGAGTGTCAGCCAGCGTATGGGAAAACACACTAATTAGAATCAACTTATGTCAGACTGTTTCATGTTCTTTTATTTGATGACCCCACTGTTGCTTCTGAGGTGGGGAGTTTTCAGAGTTGGAAATGAGATTCCAGGGCAAATGCCTGAAGCTCCCCTTTGGGTCTAGAGCAGAGAGCAGGGCTGGGGAAGGAGCCTGGCCTGGTGCAAGGAGAGATTTGGTCACAAAGCACAGAGGGTCTCACTCAGAGTAGCAGAACTTGAGCCTCTCCTCAGGGTAAAATCTGGATCCCAGGGAACACTCAAAATCCCACTGATGCCAGTCAGAACACACCCAAGTCTGCCTGCAGCCAGCAAAGCTGCACCACGCTCCTCCATCCCCAGGGATGGTGCTGGCAGACCTTGGGAAAGGCCCCAGGATGGAGCCTGAAAGAGGGCTGGGAACCTTTTTCCACTACTCCAGCTGATCCTGGGCTGTGGCTGTGCAGGCTCAGTGCCAACACGGTTATTTTTAGCTTTGTCAAGAGCTAAGTCAAGAAAGTCAAAGTATTTTAGGTTTTCACTTTCTCCCCTCTTCCCCTTTTTACCAAAACAAACAGCTTCATTCTCAGAAAGAAAATTCCAACAGCCCTCAGCGTGTGGTGTGATCTCTTATCTTCTACTCCTTATAAAATCACGGAGTTATTTAGCTTTGAAGAACAACTATTTCTGATAACACTTTTCTCTCCCCCGCTGACAGTGTTGTTCACACATTTAGACAGCTCTGACAGCCTCTTTCCTTGTGACATCCGGAAAGAATTACCTGGTTTGAGACAGCTCTTGCTGAGGATGGAGCTCCTCAGGGACACAGGAGCTCCTGCTCCCTCTCACAGCCCTCCTGTGCCCAGAGCTGTGTTTTCTGTGGTTTTTTTTTTTTTTTCCTTTTTTTCTGGGGTTATAAAATGTTTTTCCTGTTGAGCATCAGGGTTTGCCAGTTGGGGCATGGATTTGTCTCCTTCTGAGGACAAATTGCTCTGTTTTGGGGACAGTGTCAGCAAACAGGCCAGTCAGGGCAGGTACACAGAATTCAGAGTCTGTTCCTGCAGGATGCCACTTGGCAGGTCCCCGAGGCTGGAGAGTCCTTTCTCACAGACCTGCCCCCCCAGGAACACTTGCAGACCTGACACTGCTGCTTGGCTGAGCAGTCCAGTGAAGAGAATCTCCCTGCCCTGGTCCAGCTTCCCCCAGGGCTGGGGTTAATGCCAACAAAGAGGTGAGAGAACTCTGCTGGGAAGTGAAAGAAGGTTCCCTGGAGCAGGAGGCTGTGGCTGGGAATGGGGCTACACAGGACCTGCCTGTCCTGTGGGACTGTGGCAGTCTCAGGTGCAATAATAAGGATGCAGTGAGAGCAGCAGAATCCAGAAGGCAATAAATATCACATAAAGAAGGGGGAAAGCGATGACAGATTTATTCACACAAAATCTCCCCTTGCACCTTCCCCCAGGGAGCTGCTGCTGTGAAATGCTCCATGAGCTCCTGCAGCTGGAGGGGAGCCCC